AAGCAACGCCACTTCTGTAGTTATTGTAACGCAAACCACAATCTTTTTTTCCGAAAGCTTACGTAATAGTTTTGCAGCCTAAACCTTATCAGGTCAGTTCATGTGAAGACAGAAGATCGCTTAAAAAAGACTGTAAGCATCTGACGAACGGAAATTGACACGTGTTGCCGGACATTCGTAGGAGAAAGAATACATTTTCGTAAAATATCATATGAACCGCGAGGAGACGTTGCAACAGTCTTTTTATAACACTTCCTGCAAAGTGTTCTCAGACTCGTTGAAATGAATTAAAATAACCCAAAGACAGACAGACTCCTGTAGAGTTCAGTCCATGAACATATACAGAGTGTATATGTGATTTAACTGTAATTAACCGCCGCTGTGCAGCGACACTGTACAAAATGTGATTTGGTGATATAGCTCTGGATTACATGAACATAGATCCGGTAACTAGAGGTTTCTCCAGCTGGGTTCTAAGTGAGGCGAAGTGGAGACGAGACAAAAATGTGTGTAGCTCTGTAGAAACATTCTGAGGTTATCTGTGAAGCGAATATGAACTGCAACACAGACTGGAGTCTCTGCTGACTGGTATGTGATCGTCATTGTTATAAACTACTGTACGATGAACTGCAGGACATCTTTCCGTTCTCAATTTTGGATTCAAAATGAAAGCATAAAACCCATGAACGTCTTGCAGCATTTAGCATAATTATACACGCTTGACTCTCTCTCAGCACCCCTAATTCTGATTGACTTCCAGCCTCCCTCCTTCCTGCTTCCTCTACTGCCTCCTTTATGCATCCTCTCTTACTTCTTTCCATCCTTTTCCTCCACTCCCTCCTTGCTTCCTGCCCTCCTTCCGACCATATTTTCTTCCTCCCTGCCTCCCTCTCCTACCCTCCCCTCTTTTCCACCCCTGCCCCCCCCCCCGTCTCTGTCTGTCTGCTCTCTCCGAGCCATCTGACTCGGCAATGACCGCCTGTGACCTTTAGCTGAATGCAGGAGAAGGAGGAGGAGGAGGAGGCAGATAGACGAAGAGCCTGCAGCGGATGACAAATGAGCTAATTGCTTCAGATTAACCATGGAGTGTCTGCTCACAGCCTCGTTCCTGTCTAGACACCACCGCAGATCTGCAGTCTCTCTCCGAGAAGTGAAAATGTTCTAGTGGTTTTCTTTTGCTTTTAAGTTGCACTAGGCAAGTAAAAAGAACTATAAATCCTGTCAGATGAGGTCAGTTATCCACCCACAGCAGGAGCATGTGTATTAAAGGGGTACCCATGTAATTTAGTATTATACTTCTATAATGTCGGGGGATTCTATATATATATATAAAAATATATTTAAAAAATCCTGGTCAAAATTGATGCAGCGGAGGCCGAGATATCCTAACCTTTAGTTCCTATCAAGCTCCAAAACTCCTACATTTCCCATAATGCAACATTTAGGTATTTTCCTGAAGTCCTGAACACCCGTTAGTAACTCTATTGTCTACAGGCGGCAACCTCCGGTTCTGTCGAGTGAAGCCGATGAGGAAGTGTTTTTGGACTTGCATTCGCTCTACTGACCACCAGGGGGCGACTCCTCTGGTTGTATAGAAGTCTATGAGAAAATGACTCTACTTCTCTCTTGATTTATTACCTCAGTAAACATTGTAAACATGAGTTTATGGTCTCAATCTCCAGTTTCAAGTCTTCTTCAATACAGCATGATGTTCATTTAGTAAATTATGGGGGTAGGCTTTTGGGCGGGGCTACCTTGTGATTGACAGGTCTCTACCAGAGCCGTATACAGCGTCTCTACATCTGCTCTCCTCCGCAGTCCAAATATGGTCACTTCCGTTCACTGTTGCAAAACACTAAGATGGCAACGGCCAAAATCCAAGATGGCGATGATCAAAATGACGAACTCGAGGCTTCAAAACAGCCGCCCACAAACCAATGAATGACATCAGCTGACAGGAAGTAAACACTGACCCAAGTTTACATGTTACAATTAAAAGATATACAGGTTGTGGTGTTTTAAAAAACAGACGGATACAAATGCTTTTACTTTTTACAGTTTTAAGCCAAAAATATGAATCAAGAAAAGGGTAGAAAACCCTTTGAAAATCTTTTACACCTTCATGAAGAGAAACTGTGGAACATGCAGCTGTTTTTAAATGAATACAATGTTTGCAGAAAAGAGAAGTTGAAGGAATCTGTTCAAATAAAAGACCTTATAACCTCAGTATTTCTGGATGCAGTCATAAAAGAAGCATTATTAAAAAATGGAGCAGGTGCAAAATTTAGTTAGTGGAAGAAGCTTTATTTTGGCACAAAAAAGAAGAAGTGACAAATGAAACGCAGTAAACCCAGAGTGCAGTTTGGCTCGGCGGTAAAGAAACAGTGTTATTGTGTCTCTTCACTGAGGCATGTTTTGGCCTAAAGGATGTTTTTCACCGTTGCTTTAAAAATGATTTTTTTTGTCATGCCAAAACAAAACAAATTGAAAGGAAGAGTAGAGAGGATAGGAAGAGAAAGTAGGTGGACTAGCTGAGGAAGAGAGAAATAAAAGAAAGTGAATATTCCTTTTTATATTTATTCAGAGTTGAAAATGTGCCTGAATATTCAACAATAAGTGTTTTTTGCTTTCTGCTTCGCTGAAGTGGAAAAAAAGTGCTGTACCGATATTATTATGTAATCTTGTTCCACCTTTTTTTTTGGAATTTCTCTTCCAACGTGCAGAACATCTGGACGGAAACACGACATTAAAAAATAAAAAGGTCTGTTAGTGTGCAGAATGGAAGGAGTGAGGTAAGAGGGAGGAAGGGGAGACGGCAGGAAATGAAGGAAGGAAGAAGCACGAGAGAGAAAAGGGAGAGCATGAAAAATAGGAAAGGAGGGAGGAGGTCTGCTGACTGACCCGCTGACCTCCCCAGTTGGGAGCGGACAAGTTTTACTGCAGGCTGGCACACACACACACACACCTACACACACCTACACACACACACACACACCTACACACACACACACACACACACCTACACACACAGTTTCTCATAGACTTCTATACAATCAGAGGAGTCGCCCCCTGATGGACATTAGAGAGAATGCAGGTTTTAAGCATTTAACCGCAGGTTGCCGCCTGAACGTATTGACAGAAATAAATGGGGAAACAAACACAACCAAAATATTAAGAAATATTTCTGTCACTCAAATTCACTGTCAATACAGCAAGAGAGTCTTGTGTTTTTGGCAATGTGGGCAAAATTAAACTTCCATTTTACATTTGCTTCACACAAAGTAAGAAATATAAACATACGTATATAACATACAACAAGAAGAACGAGGTGTTGTTGTGTTTGAGTGTGAAATGTAAGACGGACAAGACAAGAGAGGAGGGAAGGAAAGGAGATAGGAGTTGTGGGAGTGTTTTGGCTGAAAGAGGAAGTTCAGCACCAGCTGACGGAACAGAGAGACGGACAAGCTGTCAGCAGGCAATGCGCCCACACTCACACACACACACACACACAGTGGAGGTCCGGGTGTCTTCACACAGATGGCGAGGCTGGCATCACGGTGTGTTTAAGTGTCTGTTCCATTTTGCCTTCTACAATAACACTTCTCTGTAACAAGCAGAGGAATGCAATCTGTTTACGTTCCATTATTTTAGCCTGTTTATGTTTCCTCGCGTGTGTGTGTGTGTGTGTGTGTGTGCGTATGTGTTTGTGTTATTTTCCGCCACCTCTCCTGTCGCTCGGCACCTCTCCTTGCTTCCTTCACTTCATCCTTTCCCTCTGTTTTCATGTAAATACAATAATGACTCCCTCCTGATTGATCTAAGCCTAATATTGAGTTCCTTTGCTTCACACCCTTCTTCATATTCAGACATTGTATGTATTGCTACACCATATTAAAACATATACATCGCCTAAAGGCCTAAGGCGTTTGTTTTTAATGAATACTTTCACACAGAAGATGAATATTTTATCAGGCTGAGGTCGACTTTTATGATCTTTCGCACTGCGAATAAAGGCGTCAACCGATCACGTGCAGAACGAGATGAGGCGCGCTTGTATTTTATAAAGAACAGCGACACGAGACAGCAAACTTTATTACTCATTTCAACCTTGACAAACGCAGAGCATACTAGATCCACTCCTTCCGTTCTTACCTTTCACAATATATATAATATGTAATATTCTCAAGCGAGTATTTTGCATTTTCGTGTTTTCCGAAAATTCACAAAATTCAGATGAAGAAGAGCCTCATCAAGTGTTATTGAACAAGTCTTGATGCAAAGTAGAATGTATACACAACTCTCATAAGAAAGTGAAAGCGATGCTCCTTTCATTTCATTTAGAGCCAAAAGTTTTGGTTCCATTTTATTTATATTTTGCCTCTACGCACTGAATGAGGACCGGTCTTATTTTGGTGCAAAGATCGGACGATACGGAAGTGAAAGCAGCGCTCTGTGTATATTAGTGTGAAAGTGCAATAAAATATTATATAGAAATACATATACATATTATATCAACTATTTTGTCTCTTTGATCAGTGAATAATCGTGATAAGTAATCCTGATCTTAATATTGATCAAAAATAATAGTGGTTATCATTTGGCCATAATCGTGCCGCCCAATATTGAGCAGATAAGTTTACAACCGATGAGTTTTACAAAGTTTATTGTTTTAAATTCCTTAATATCTAATTCGCTCTGTTTAGAGGAAGTTCAGACATCAGACTCCCCCCTCCTCACTCCCCTGTCTCCCTTTCTCTCTCTCTCTCTCTCTCTCTCATCATTATTCTGTCTGTCCCTCTGACCCATCTGTGTCTCCCAGACGCTCCCACAACTCCCCCTCTTCTTCTCTCCCCCCTCTCTCTCTCTCTGTCTCTGCCTCCCCTCCTCCCTCACATTGACCCCTTTTGTTCACAGCTATTGAGAGGTGGTGGTGGTGGGGGTTCGGTCAGCTGTTTCCTGTGTGTGTGTGTGTGTGGGGGGGGGGGGGGGGGGGGGGACAGTGTGGGAATGTGTAGAGAAAGAAGTTGCAGACAAAGCAGTGTCGGCCCTCAGAGTGCGAGTGTCACCCGGCAAGGACACACGTCGTGTCGGAGCGTCCGTGGGACGTGTAGCTCGGAGTTTAACTGCAGTCGGAACATTTGTTTTTATTTCTTTTATTTTTGTTGGTTGTTTGGAGAGAAAACAAACAAGCAAACATCTTCAGGTTATTATCATCACGGGAATACAAACATCTATACGGGAGAAGGTCTTGTAGAGAAAAGGGACTATGCAGCCGTCATCAGGCACTCACAACCATGACAACTGTGTTCAGACGCAGCTCTGTGGTGAGTTTCTCATCCGAACACAATAATCTATCGTCGATCAGCTGTGATTCTATATTCTAAGGACTGATACTGCTGCTTATAGAAGTTACTCCTCATGTTTTCCTTTTTAAACGTTGTTTAGGACAGTGGAGTTGTCTGAAACAGTTTATTGACAGAAAACAAGCTGGGAGTTTGAATGGTTTATAACTGATCTATAACCATAAAGGACTTATTAAATGTTAATGATGAGATTAGCTATACAAACATTAGAAAAGTGCTGTTGTTTCCAATAAATGTACTGCATCGGGACACTGATATGATGCACAGTCACATCAGCTGTGATGAGAGGGTTTCATGCATCTCCTTCACTCCTTTCCTGGAGTATTCAACCTCGAAAGGTTTTGGTTGTTCACAAGGTTTACCGCGAGGTCGGCGGTTCGATCCCCGGCTCTTACCTCCACATGTACAAGTGTCTGCTCTAAGAGTCAGGACTGCATTGGATGTCAAGGATCTACAGCGGGTGTTTGGAGTTGTCCTCTTCTCTGGCTGGTGTGTTGATCATGTTCTGGTTATAGGGGGATGTTTCACTCGACCTGGTAAGCAGTGTGTTGTGAAGCCTCATCTTGTTTTTAAAGTCATTTCAGCATTTCAGAGGAGCTAAGCGGTGAAGTACATGTTTGAGAATCCCGTATGAATGGTTTGATTCATAAAAGGTTATGAAATGGTTACGAGGGGTCACCTGACTGCGTGTAACGGTCAGCTGGTCAGAAGAACATAACAAGACTGTGAGAACTGGTGTGAACCGTCTGAAAAGCAGCCTGCAGAGTGTGTGTGTGTGTCTGTGTCTGCAGGCTACTTTATGTTCTTCTGTCTGACATGGCCTGACCTCCGCCTGCTCCCTGTGAAAAAACCAAAAGTGTGAGAAAGTGCTCCTTTTGTGTGTGTGTGTGTGTGTGTGTGTGTGTGTGTGTGTGTGTGTGTGT